AAGAAGAAGAAGAAATATCATTCCCTGCAGAGACAAGAGAATAATCTTTTCTATCTATTCCACTTGTGTTAACAGCAGTGTTGCTTTTCTCTTGTAATGAAGAGAAAGAGTTGTCTATATTATTACCGTTCTTCTGTGGGGTGGGGATTGGCAATTGATATCCCACCGCATCTGTGCGGACGCCTGCGGGGTCGATCTCCACAACTGTGAAATCTTCCGGATTTCTTTTAAGAGACGCCGTCGCCGCCCGCCCCACCGGCAGAAGAAATCCACTGATACCGCATGCCTCTAACATGGAGTCTATACACATATAAATAAATAAATATATATATGTATAAAGAAGAAAAGAGAAATTAAACGAAAAACAAAGAAGGAAAAAAGAAGGAGGAATGTGGCTCAAGAAAACAAAAAAAAATTCAATTAAAAGTCTCGTACCGTTTTTTTTTTTTTTTTTTTTTACTTTTCGCCCCTTTTCCTCACCCTTATAGATAGATAGATAGATAGTATCAATGTTATTATGTTTCCTCTTTCTCCAGTACTATTATTATAGAAGAATAATGGCCTTCTTAATTCAGTTTGTGTTTGTTCATTTCTTTTTCTTTTTCTTTCCTTTTTCTTTTCGCTCTTTCTGTACCCCCTTCACATATGCACTCCATACATCTCTCTACTGATTTCACAATGTTCTTGTTGTTATTATTTTTTTTTTTTTTTTTCTTCCCCCAATCTTCTCCCTCTTTACTCTACTCCTCTCTCTCTCTCTCTTCTTTATTAGTAATACTTCTTGTACAAGTCTCGTGCTCTTTCACTTGCGGCTCTTCTCGCCACTTCCTCCGCTTCTTTCAAGCGCTCGTGCAGACGATCTCCCACAAAATTCTTGCGCGTGATAACACCCACCACTCGATTGCAGCGATCGACAACGGGCAGTTGTCGCAGTCCAAGATGACGGAATATATAATATGTTCTTGATATACACATCACATCACGTACATAATATGCACTTAAATCTACATAAGGTGCAAGATCAATGTAAGATTGTGAGATACTTTCCGGTAGAAGTTCTAGAGACGGTAAGGATGGTAAACGTCTCCAAAAAATAACTTCATTTACTTCTTTTAAATCGGTATAGGTGGCATGAGATTGTTGTTGGGCTAATCTTTGTATGGTTTCTCTGTTATCACTATCATTCTTTTTAATAGAATTAAATGCATCGCCAATAGGTGAATAGAAATCATCGTTATCCAATGGTGTCATTACTCCACACTGTGTCTCATCATCATATTCACTACTGCTTTTAGTAGGACCACAACTACTATAGGGTCGTTCACTCTCTATTTCTCTCTTTTTCCCTTCTACATCCCTAAAGTAAACAAACCATAATAAGAGTTCTAATTGAGCTCGTGAAATAACGCCTTCATAGGTTCCTTTTGAAATCGATATAACAGGAAAATTATTATGTGGAGTAGATTTTAATAATTCCTTCACATCTGTTACTTTTTCAATAGATTTTAGTGTTATTGGTGGATGTGTCATAATATCTTTAGCACAAAACATATCAAGTTTATGTACACTTGTTTGAGCCTCTAGAAAAGGGACTGCTTTTACTTCTAATAGTGAATGATAAAGTGAATGACAACAGCGATCTGCTAATGCCTTTGCAATGATAACTCCCACCATTAGACATGTAATATGTGTAAGATCTGAAGTTAATTCCATCATAATAACAATGAGTGAAAAAGATAAACGTGATATACCTGAGAAATAGGATGCTGATCCTATTAATGCGATAACTCCAGGATCTGCCCAAACATTATTTCCAAATATAACACCAATAAATCTTCCACCAATAGCTCCTATAAAAAGTGATGGAATGACAGTACCACAAGAGATAAACATACCTCCCGCATAACTAGATCCAAGTGTATATAGTATTAATTGCAGCAGACATGTATACCATGGTATCAAGGATGAAGTATGTCTGGAGAGTAAAATACGAATACCATTATAAGGGCTTGTTAAGGTAAGTGTTGCCAATGGATTAAATGTATTTTCCTGATCTGTACAAAAAGCAGTAAAAAACTCAAAATTTAATTCCTCTTTATGATCCTTTACATATTTTGGAACCTCTACGCAGTTAAAGGCCAGTGGAAGGAAATAACAACAAGTAGCATATAAAAAAACAAATAAGCAAGGTTCTAATACACGTAATGGTGTTCTCGGCACAAGTTGTTTAGAACGCCATCGTGTAAATTTTATACTTGAAACTGTATAAATTACAGCCAACAAGCCAAGGGCAATAGAACCCACTACAGTAGGAATAAAAGTGAGTAAATTCATAGGAACACGATTTCCAGGTATAGTATCCACTGTAAACATAGAAATAGCAGTTGGTCTAAATTCTCCTGATGGTATAGAAGGATGAATAGATAATTGCCATCCACTTAAATAAGTATTCACAATTTGAATAACGCACATACATGAAAGACAAGAGGCAAATACCAAACAGGCTAATTTAACTGGAAAAAAAGTTGCTACTTCCTCCATTACAAAAAGCATTCCACCGATAGGAGATGAAAAAGCGGATGTCATCCCACATGCGGCACCTGCAGAAATAAAATCCCGCATATCTCGTGGATTTCGAAATGATGAAAGCAAAGAACTGGCACTACAGTGGAGTGTACGACTACGTCCTGTTGGAATGCCAGCACCGATAAGTGAACCAATATGAATAATAGGTCCCTCTGCACCAACAGGAAGTCCAGAAGAAACGGCAAGAATACATGAAAGTGTTTTTATAATTAAATTACGGATGTTAAATATACGAGGAAACATTATTCCATTTAAGTATGCCATAACATCCGGTACACCACTCCCTGCCGCACTAGGCATTACAACACAACACAGTGAAGAAAGCATTGCAGCGAGTACACTCCAGAGAATGTATACACCATAACCTCTTCCTATTGATTTCCAATTTAACTCGTTCGTTGATAAGTTATTTTGACCTAGAATAGTATTACTACTACTACTACTACTACTACTACTATTAGTATTAATAGTAGTAGTTTTATTATTATTCCCCTGGTAATTAATAAATTGCTCCAAGAGACCTTTCTTTTTATTAGCCATAAATTCAAGTGTCTGAAATAACAATACAGACCAGAGTCCCACACATATACCAACGGCTATAAACATAATCCACTTAAGCCAACGACGTCCCTTCTTTCGTTGAGACATTTGTGCCTTGTAAACTAAAGATTGAACCTCACTATAATCAATACTTTCATAATTATCCATTCGTCTTCGCTCCTCAGATGAAAATACATGTGGACGTGCCGATTTTTCAAATAGAGGAGCTCGAGGACGAACAAAAGCAGCATCGCCTTCCTCTTCTACTTGTTCTGCCAATTCTTCAAACCACGCACCTGTTCCACGATCTCTGTGAATATTACGCAGTGAACTAAATATACTCCCTCTGCGGCGACCTTGATTGGAGGGAACTCCTCCTTCCATTCCACTGCTGAGTGGTGGTGCTGATGGGTTCGCCATACCTTAATGCTCCTTTCTTATAGGTTGGCTAAGAAATAGAGAGAGAGAGAGAGAAATAGAGAGAGATTACAGAATTGTTTATATATATATATATATATATATATATATATAATGGAAGAAACCAGAGTAAAGGGGGGGACGGGTACAACACACATATATGGAGTGAGTCAAAGAAAAAAAAAAAAAAAGATCACAAAAACATGTATAAAACATGTATATAAGTAATACCAATCATAACAATAATAACAATAATAAGAGAATGAGAGTAATACCACATGCAATGAGAGCAAACTTGCCATAGATATAAAAAAAAAAAAAGAATTAAAAATATAATCTGGAAATTTTATTAAAAATAAGGAGATATAAAGAGCCAATAAAAGAATGAATAAGAAAAAAAAAGACAAAAGAGACAAAGAAAGGTATAGAACAAGGTAATACATTCTATATAAATTCTAGAATGAACACAGACAACACTTTCTTTTTCTTTCTTTTGCAAACCAAAAACCGATACATATCACAGTCCTTTACATATGCAAACAAACAAAAGAAAAGTGTACATGGGAACAAAGAAAACGAAAAAAAAAAAAAAAAACGAAAATAACTATAGCAATAACAATAATAAGCAAATAACTTCCTGACTGACTCTTTCATAACCTCATATATATATATATTTATATATATGAGCCTTACTCCAAAGTATACACACACACACACACACATCTCTCTCTCCATTACCTCATTTCCTTCTTTTCACTTCGCTCTCCTTTGTGGCCCTCCAACTCCGCTCTCACTCTGTAGATGGCTTCAGTGTATGCCAGCGGCAAATGATCCTGCAGCATTTGCCTTCCGAGAACTAATTGCTGCCGCCACGGCGCATCTAAAGGGACCTCCACAACACTTTTGGTACCGTCAGGAACATGCAATAGTCTGCCGGGAACAGCAAGTAACGGCACCTCCATACTATTATCATTAGCACTATTACCATTACTAGTATTAACATTATTACTAGTATTAGTATTGATATTAGATGATGATGATGATGATGATGGGTAAAAGAGACTGTAGATAGATCGCGCCTGCAGTCGTGGTACGGCATCGAGACGGTTCACCCACGATGTTAACGCGCGAGGTCCCATCAATGCACTAATTTTTTCCACTACGGTCTGTTCAACACAGGGAGCTGGGCCAAAGGCAATGGTGTGTACAGTATTATTATTATTATTATTATTATTATTATTATTATTCTCATGCTGGGTAGGAAATAGAAACATAAGATGAAACAAAATTGCCTCAACAGCACCAAGAGAATGACCTACACATAATAATTTATAATTTGGGTATTGTTCTCTTATGATATTGAGAACTTGAGTTAAGTGTGTTCCTGCCTCCATCACATTTGTATAAAAACCGGATGGTACTTGTGTACATAACTCTTCCATTTTCCCTGTTGTTGTATCCCGGTAAGTTGTGAGGTGTACATTTCTGTATCCACCAGCTAAATCCGCAATGAGGTCTGCCGCAGAAAGTGTTCCTCTAAAGGAAATAACAACTCGCTGTGTATGATGATCGAGAATAACTACAAAACACGGCTGCCAAAGAGAAGCTGAATAGCGAGCATACGCCACCTCAAGCAGAGGATCATCCCGTTCTCCACAGAGAATACGACGAATGGCATTCACCTGATCGGCTGTGGAGGCACGCACATAGCGGTGATGGCTCGGCATCCACAGCCGCAGTCCCCGGCCAAGTCCATCAAAGTACCCCAATTCATACGGTAATGCATAGGAAGCCACGGCAAAGCGTAATCCATATAAAGCGTTCTGCACCGCCTCCTCTAATGTCTCCTGCTGATCACATCGAGTCGCGGAGGATAATGGAGCAATAGTGTTGCGGCCAGATGTTGGACTCTCCTTTGAGTCCCTCACCCGTGTGCACCACTCCGTGTAGGACTCCCAACTACGTTGACTCACCATCCATGCAATTCGCGTTCTCGCTGCGAGTGCTGCAAGAGAAGTGTGGGCCGCGGCAAAGTGTGTAAGCAAGGCCCACCGTGCATTACGCGCCGCCTCTGTAAAGGCAAGACCCGGCGTTAAGAAGATACGCCCCTTTTCCCTTGAGGACTGTGAGAAGGACGGGCCATCGCCATCCCGCCGCTGCAGACCATTGCAGAAATCACAGCGGTAGGAATGATCTCCACAACGAACAAATATGGGACCCGTGCAGACACACCAGTGCGGCTGTTGATGATGGCGCTGGGGGAAAAGAGATCGCCACGTCCATGAGATCTTTTTGTTTGGTTGCGCTACTACTTGTTCCTTTGGCCTCCTCCAAAACACTTGATGCATAAACTGCAACATGAGACCTTTAAAGAGAAAAATAAATAAATAAATAAATAAATAGAACACACAAGAAATAAAAAATAGAAAATACAACACATCAGAAAGAATGTAGAATAGAGTACCCTATATATATATATATTACATAAGTATATTTTTGTTTGTTCTTTTCTTTTCTCTTTTCTTCTTCTATTTCTTCATATTTTATTTAGAATCAGAAGAGATACAGAGACACACACACCAAGGAGGAGTTATCTCATAACTCAAAAATGTAGTAAATGAAACGAACCAAATGCGACTGTACAGGTGCAAATACAAAAAGAAATAATAAAAACAAGAAAAAAAAGACGACAAACACAATACAGAAAAAATGTAGAAAGAAGAATAAAACAAAAGGTAAACACTAAATGGGTAGAAAGAAAAACCAAGAATGGGGAAACCAAAGAAAAAAAAAAAAGAATAGAAAAAAAAAAAAGAAAAGAGAGAAAAAAAAAAGAAAGAACAGAACGATATCTCAACAACAATCACCCTATCCCCCTTTTTCCTGATTGTATGAGGATTCTTTTACATTCTTTTTTTTTTCCATTCTTGTGAAATCATTATGTGTACACTTCTCTTTCTTTTTCCCCCATACCCTTTACAGTTTTTACTGTCTTCTCTGAATCTCCCATCACCTCTCCTTCTCTAATAGACGCCACTGGTAGGGGCCACGCATATTTTTAGTGTATTTTCCCTCGCCAGGCGGTCTGTTTGAATGAGTTCCCGTCTTGGCAGCCACGGGTAGACGCCCCATCCCTTCCCTGCAAAGGACGCCGGCCAGCCAGAAACCCCCCACTCCACCCAAGAGACTGTAGAGAAAATACTTACACGAAAATCAACACGTAGAGAATGACCAACAGGAAATAAAAATAGACCAACAGGTTCATCTTGAACGGAATGATTTGGGCGATCTTTAGATGATTCAGATTTACATCCAGTAGATCCATCTGGGGACTGAATTCGTAAATCCCATTCAAGATCAAGTAATCTAAAAGTTCCAGAGCACACAGCACGACGCTGATCAGGATGAAAGTACTTACTTGCATTTTGTACACACCATATATACCCTGTGCGCACATCTGTGAGTCGACGTAACAACACCTTCCCTCGTGCCTGGTCAACTGTATCCTCTGATAAATCATAAGAGAGTAATTCATCTATTTTCCCATTACTGCATTTTAGTACGGGTGGCAATGCTGGAGGTGTCTCACTGAGTCCTAAAGGAGTTTTACTTACCGTCGAACCTGGTGTTGTAGAAAGTCTAGAATATTTCATTCCAGTAGGAGAGAGAGCCATCAAAGCAGAGGTATTAGAATATTTTCTACCTTTTGTAGGAACAAGTTGCTCAATCATTTGACGAACAGCAGAGAAATCAATATGAAAAAGAGCAGACTCACTTTCACGAACTTGTTTTGCCGTACGTATGGCAAATTCCAAGTCTGAGTCATGACGTTGTGATGCGAAAAGAACCCCTTCATTTAGTAATTTAGGTGCTTCCATAAGATAAACAACACTAGTAACGGTTTCAGAATGATGATGTGTAGTATCTGTAAATTGAATTGAATCTTCTCCAGCTTTCTCATATGATTTCTCCATTCCTGTAATGGCTTCTTTATACTGTTTTATTAAACGTTGCACTTCCTTTAGTGGTGTGTCTAGACAATGTGATTGTTCTCGCATGCGTTGAATCCATTCCTTCTTCTTAGCATCAATAAGTGTGTGAAGATCTGCAGTAGCCGCTTCCATGGCTTTTACGGCATCCATTTGTTTCTGTTGCAAACGATCTCGCTCCGTCTCAAGTTGTGATTGTACACGTTGATAATTATCTAACTCCATTGAGAGAGAATGACAAACATCCTCTAACTTTCGACGGACATCCACCGCCACCGTCTCTACATTACACACTTCATGTCCTCTATGTTCCCCAACAGATGCACAATAGGGACATATCATGTGATTGCATTTAAAACACCATAGACCTAATACAGTTCCATTATGTACAGAACAAGTAACAGTGGAAGAAAGTAGAGAGCTCCGCCTTCCCCGTCTATTCATTGGTGGTGCTGATCCAGATCTCATTGAACTCCTAGGTGAAACGGGTAAACCTCCTTGAAAAGAGGTTCGACTACCAACACTCCTACTTCGGTGAAACTCATAAGGAGTACGTAATGCAGAACCAGAATTAGCTTTATTAACACGATTTATATTAATATTACCAGTCGTAGTATTTGTATTTTGACCAAATTGTACTCCATTATTTTTTAACTTTGTACGATCATTCTTTTTTCCAATAATTGTTAATACATATCGTGGTAGGGCCTGATGATTTTTACCCACACGAATACCTTTTACAACACGACCATCTTCTCTTTCTTCTAAGAAATATACACTATCATAACCAGAAGGGGGTACAATCAGATTCTTTGACAATGGAACATTAGAGAGCCATCCTCGTCCTGGTGCTACTTCACAAAGAAGAACTTTGTGTGGTTCTAATGAAAATGGCTCCTTATCACCTTTATCTGTCATGGAGGATGAAAAAACAAAGAGTGGATGTTGTTTATTAGTTTTCACATGTTCCTGATGTTCATTACCTGAAGTTGTTTCTATTGTGGGACTCAGTAATGCAGGAGGAAGACCACCTCCTTCTATTACTCGTTCAAATCCTCTTTTTAGAACCTCATTACTACTAAGAGAATTATTTGTGTAGTAAAGTAATTCAACACGTTCAGGATCACCTTTCAGTCCATTATACCGCACGTGATCAAACAATCGCTCATTACGGGGACACGACACACGCAATGCATTTTGAAGAGAATACATCACATAAGCATTACCTGCCCAATTCTGCACATGTGATTTAAGTTCTGCATATTCCTCAGCATCCACATCTGGATCAACAACCTCAAGTCGGAGTGGTCTTGTCTCTACCCATAAATGAGCAGATACAACCATACCATTACCAGTATTATTACTAATATTATTGTTATTATGAGAAGGAGTGATATCACTATTTCGATCACGTGAAGTTTCCTTCTTGCCTTTATGCTGCACAAGAGATTGCAGGGAAGTGAGTACTTCATACTCTTCTCGGTCCGAGTTCCAGTAGGAAATAAGCTGTGGTGGCCGTTTAAGCAATTTCTCTAAGAACATAAAGAGGTCTGGCATATTATAGACGTGAACACATGCATCCTCTAAAGGGATGGGAGTGCGACTGTCATCAACGTAGACCACCAGCCGAAGAAACATTCAACGTAAAAAGTGAATCTTCGTCTGTCTAGACAACACCACAACTTTAAAAAGAAAGAGAGAGAGAAAGAAAAGATAAGAGTGAAGAAAAGGAAAGGAAAAACAAAAAAAAAAAAAAACGCTGCGGCAAAAATACAACAAGTTAAAGTTAATCCAAACAAGAGTAGAGGTTAAAGAGAGATGAAAAAGGAAAGGGGAAAAGAAGAGAAAGAAGAAATGTGATCTCTCTCACATGACTCAGGCACAATGGCGATCAATCGCCCCCGCATCCTCAGTGCCATGTAGACACAAGAAGGATATCGTTGCTGCACCCTTAATTAATGAGATTGCAAACTACTAAGGATAGAGGGAGAAAGGAGAAGAAGGGGGAACCATAATAATAAATAAATAAAGAAAAGAAGGAGGTGAACTTTGCTGCAGAGTTACTTCTTTCTTTTCTTATTTCTTTTCTAAGATTCCCTAGTGAAAAATAAATAGGACCACAAAAATAAAAACATGAATTTTTGCGGGGTATACGTAGTGAAGAAAAAACAGCAAAACAAGAAAGATAATGCTGCGGCAAAAATATAACAATAACTTCTTAAAGTTAATCCAAACAAGAGTAGAGGTTAAAGAGAGGTGAAAAAGGAAAGGGGAAAAGAAGAGAGAGAAGAAATGTGATCTCTCTCACATGACTCAGGCACAATGGCGATCAATCGCCCCCGCATCCTCAGTGCCATGTAGACACAAGAAGGATATCGTTGCTGCACCCTTAATTAATGAGATTGCAAACTACTAAGGATAGAGGGAGAAAGGAGAAGAAGGGGGAACCATAATAATAAATAAATAAATAAAAGAAGGAGGTGAACTTTGCTGCAGAGTTACTTCTTTCTTTTCTTATTTCTTTTCTAAGATTCCCTAGTGAAAAACAAACAAAACTACAAAATAAAGAGAAAAAAGGAAAGAAAATGAATTTTTGCTGGGTATGAGTAGTGAAGGGAAAAAGAGCAAAAGAATAAAAAAAAAAAAACACAGAATAACAAACTAGCAGCCCCATCAGCAACTTTTTCAGTATTTAATTCATACTGAAAGTCAACAAATCATATGAGAAATATAATCAACAAGAGAAAAGAAAAAAAAGAACCAAGGAAAACAAACTCATTCAACTAGATGCGGAACTCTTCCACATCTCCCTGTGACTCCACTCCAAAGTCAATGGAAGTCGTGTTCACTGAAGAACCTTTGCGAGTATTAGCCGCAGCTGTAGCCGCTACGGACATCTTGCCGTGTTTTTCAGATGATGAACGACGACTGCGGCTCTTCTTTTCTGTCTTTGTTGTATCTCCCACAGTTTTTGTTTTTGTTGTTGTTCCTGCTGCTGTTGATGTTGCTGTTGTTGTGATAGATGTTGGTTTAAGGGCTCGACTCGTGTTGTTACGCCCTCGCCTTGTGTGTGTGGCCGGTCGGCGCATTGACTTGTGGTGCATCAGCAGTGAATCCCGCAGTGGAATCTCGTGCAGTGAGATCCGCTCATCCTCGTCCGCCCCGATGGAAGAACCAACACCCGATAAGAGTCCAAGAAGTCCTTTACTGCGCAGTCGATCACGCAATTCCGTGTTGGACATAATACTACTCATGTTTGATTGGGCACAGGCAAGTAATGGGGAAGGCGCAAGTGTTTCCCGCACTTCATCAGAGCCATTGCGTATCATGAGATCATGTAAAGCGAGAAGGACTTCTGCCGCTAAAGTTCCACCTTGAAAACGTTCACATACAACGTTTGCACGTCTTAATAATAATTGTTGTTGTTCCAATGTACACGGCATCTTATCTAAGGCGGCTAATGTGATGGCAATTAAATGTGTTTGACTGGCACCTGCGGATTCAAGGGAAGTAAAGCATATCCGCTGAAGACTCATTTGCCATTCAGACTGAAGTAAGGAAGGTCTTAATTGGACGATAGTACTTGCAATAGAAATAATCTGTGTATCTGTGAGTTTAATTTCATTATCATTATGTGTTGTTGTTGTTTTTGTTGCAGTACCTTCACGACGAGTTAAGGCGATTCCCAGAACTTGTGCCGTCGCAGAGAGAAATCCCTCATGGTCAAAGTTAAGAGCTCGTAAGGAACCCATACAACTCGCTAATTCTTCTCCCTTGAAGGATGTGAATACATTCACAGCACGATCACAAAAAAGAGTGGTGAGTTCGGCATGACGATTAATACTAAGTTTAACCGTACTGTATAAAACTAATGTAATATCACGTGGAGTTGTGTGTCCTGCTGAAACACGAAGACGTGGTAACATTTGCTGAACAACACGAATAACACCTTTCAAGACAAATGTAAACACATACAGAAGTAAACATAAATCATGTACTGTACTTTTGGGTGCCTTTTCAAGAATATGTGTAGCTGTAGAAGAGTAAAACTCAATATCATTAAATCTTAACATGGCACATTGTAATAAAGTATTCACTAATTCAGAAGCTTCAAAACGAGATAAATTTTTCCTTGTATACTCTACAATAGCCAAGAGTAAATCATTAAATCGTAATCGACTACGTGCGAGGGCATCCAAAAGAAGAATGGTCTCTCGTGCTGTTAAAGTACGTACCCAATTTTTTTGTGAAGAAAGAGAATTAAAAAGATCTGGTAAAAATACCTTCTGTGCTGCTGGTAGAGGTGCAAGCATGGCTGCAAGTTCTACTTGTACTCGAAATGGTGCATTTGCTGTGGCCATTGCGATAACAGACATGTGTTGTTCCAATAACGCATGGCCTCCATATGTGTGTAGAGATACCATAACACCAGTGAGAAGTGGTAGTCGTTTGGTATCTGTACTGGCAGCCACATCATCAAACTTTAAATCTCGCACAAGAGCGGTGTAAAACTTTGTTGGTTGTATCTCTGGAGGAAATAACTTTAGTGTAGCGCTGGCTATACTCAACATACGGTGTGCGAGTAGTGGAATAGCACTCTCTCCACACTCATCCAATACCTCTGAAAGAGGACGGGAGGCTGTAATAAACCATTCCTTTTTATCAAATCGCATCATCAAACGCATAATAGCAGTTGTACGGGCCACATCTGGTGTATCTGTGTGTAATTGCTGTAATCGCAAAGCCGCTGCTTCCATGATCTCCGGATGCATAACTTGTTTGGCCTCACACTTCTGCAGCATGTCTGTCAGCTGCGAGTCATCTGCGGTGCTGATGGCTTTCAGTGTAGACTGCACAAATGCCGCAATCACGGTATGATTAGAGGTGCCTTCTCCTGCGGAGGAAAATACACTAACATCCCCGCGATGACCTCGTCTGGTTCGTGCAGGAGCCACAGCAATAAGTCCACTATCAAATCCCTCTGCTGAACGGGTAGAACTCGCCGCGAGGAGAGAAACAACAGGCATACCAAGACCTCTATAACACTCAATCACTCCACCTAAATGTTCCATGGAAATATAACTAGATGGTTGTGCACAAATGTGACGTTCTGCCATTTTGTAAAAGTCTGGATAATGAACCTTTCGTTCATAGAAACACTCAATAATACAGTAAAGTTGTCTTCCTGTAAAGGTATCCATTCGTCTAATACAATGATCGGCCAGTAGCGACCATGTATCCTCATGTCTAACCCCGGCATCTGCCAGGGATTGAATGAGTTCCACGGTTCCTGCACTGTCAATACTCGGCAATGCCTCTGCGAGTAGAGGGACCGCCGAGACGGAGACATCGTGTTGTCCGAGTGTGCAGCAGGCGGCGATGGTGCGGGAGAGTTGACTGCCTGTCATCTGTGGAAGTTCCTCCCGCACGAGGGCCACCGCACTCGCCGTGACTGGACTCTGCTCCAGCTGGAAGTACACCAGACACTCCAGCAATCGCCGAAGGGCGGAGGGTCCCGGGGAGGGGCCGGCGCGGAGATCGAGTGTGGTGAGTTTGGCCTTCAGCGCGTGTCCGAGTTTCTCATCCAGCACAATACTGTGAATACGTTTAAGGTGATAAAGGTCGTGAATTACTCGGGATAGCATATAATAATAATAATAATAATAATAATAATAATAATAATAATAATAATAATAATAATAATAATAATAATAAATAATAAGTGTATTGTGTGTCTAGATGTGTGTGTGTGTATATATATCTCTTGTTTTCTAGAGCCTCTTCTTTTATGTTATTCGGATTTTTCCACTCCCACTCCCCCTTTTTTTAAAAATATTCTTTTCTGTCCTCCTTAACCCCTCTTTTTTTTTTTTTGATAATGATAGAATAAAGAAAGAAGTAGAGAGAATGAATTATATAATTTGTGTGATAGTTTGAGAGAAATACAAATTTGAAGCTACTACTATTGTCGCTGCGGTTTAAGACAAAAAAAAAGACACAGATATACAAAAACCTATATATATATGTATATATATATATACGGACGCACGCCGAGAAAAATAACTCAATAAAACTCGCATGCATAAGAAACATAGAAACAACGGTATCTTCTCCCTGTGCAAGAAAAAAAAAAAAAACACCTTCTCTTTCTTTCTCTGGTTCTTTTTGCATGTTTGCAAAGACTTACCGCTGCTACTTCCCCATTTCCTTCTTCCTCTTCTTCCACACAACCAACATCCAACACAACCAACACAGACATATACACACTGAATACCAAGTAATGACCCTTCTCCCCACCACTATTACTAGCTGTTAATGATAAAGATATAGCCAGATATATATCCTCTCTTTCCTTCTCTCTTTTTCTCTCTCTCTATAGCACTCTCATACCACACATAGAGATAGAGATACAAAAGACACAACGAACGAAAGAAAGAGAATAAATAAATACAAACAAACAAAATGTATTGCGTTACGCAGATGTTGAGGAGGTCTCACGCGGTCCTCCTGCTGCCCACGACGGCTTTGGCATTTCCCCCTCGCGGAAGTTCTTCACCTGTTCCACCGACCACTGCCGCGCCTGCAGTTTCTGCATCTCCACCGACTGCATCGCCTCGTCCTTCTTCTCGCGGATCTGCCGGGCGGTGTGTTTGATGCCGGCGCCGAGGTCCACGCCGAAGAAGACCATCACGAAGAAGAACATCGCCACGCCGGACCACGGAATGCGGCGGAAGGCCCGCAGGAAAATCCCCTCGCGGGGGGAATCGCGGGCGAGAATACTCCGCTCCCAGCGCTGCAGCTGCACAAAGTCGTAGCACCTGCGAAGACCCATGTTTTCTTTTTTTATTATATATTGCTGTTGATAATATGATGGTTGTTGTTTTTTTTTTTTACTTTTTGGATTTCCTTCTTTTTCTTCTCTTTTTATAAATAATGTATATTATCTATTTCTTTCTTTCAGGGCTATTAATATATATATATATAAATATATATATATATATATTTCTTGGTTTGTTGATGTTGTTGGATTTGTCTGTAACTATGGTTCGCAATAAATAGCGGGTTTCTATTGCAACCGCCGCACCTCAACTGTCCAATACTGCTGCTTTCAAAAAAGAACCAGTCATCATATATATATATATATATATATATATATATATATATATATATA